CCGACTACTTTCCTGTTACGTATATGACGAGTGTAACTAATGATTAAATTGAAGGCCGTATATTAGTATTCAGTATTCTTCTTTCTTTCCAGTGGTACTGTGAGGCTGGTGTTGTACAGCAATTCATGTATCAACGTTTTCATCTACGCCGGAAGCAGCTCAGAGTTTAAAAGAGCCTTCAAGCTGTTAATTCGTAGAATATTTCTTTGTGAAAATGATGGTACCATAGAACTTGCGCAAACGAGCCAACCAACTAACTCTGTACGATAGAATCGAACAAAAACATAACCTTCTTTATAACGTTATTTCCGATGTTATCGGTAGCTGGACCATGTTCCGGCTGATGGTATTCAACGTGTTGATCTATTTTATTTACCGAATTCTAAAGTTGAATTCAGCATCAGAAGAATGTTACGCTCATTCCGAAAAAAACAACGGACCAATATTTCAAAAAGGATTTTTTTAAGCCATGTACTCGATAATAATCGGGTTATACATCATGATAAATTTAAGTCACAAAAATCGCGTGATGGAAAATATCCTGAGGCTTACAATACAGAAGAGACCATTCTTAGATTATAGAAAGTTGTATTGTCTTTGAACACATAATCTGCAGATATTTAGACTTGAATACATTTTTAATGTCAATCTGTGTATTAAATAATGTATCTTGTAACATTTTAGTAATATTTTATGTGTTCTATAGAAACAGTATTAGCCTACACGTGCTGTTCTCGTCGATTGGTTTATTTTACGTCACTTATTAGAAAAGAATTTTTAATTTATACATACGCTGAATTAATTTATTTATTTATTTTTTAATTAATTTAGTTGGAGATGTGTATTTGTTTATTATTGTAAGAATTTGTATTTAATATGTAAAGGGTGGTGAATCGTGTGTGTAGTCCGTCTACAACTATCAAAACGCATCGCCATGCGTATATTAACCGATACCAGTCTGCTATTTAAACATTTTATAGAACATTAATTTACTGACTCTATAATTTGTTATTGCCATTTTAATACATAATGTATAAAGCATAATTGCATACACAGATTTGTTTATAATAATATAAGTCAACACTGTCCGAACCTATGTGTCTGAATTTTGACATATACTTGTTATGCATATTCACATTTATACTATGTAAGACTATTACTGGAAAATGACAAATACAAACTTACTGAGACACTAAACATGTGACTAAACAAAAATATGATTTTATTCGAACATAACATCTTCAAAAACAGTACAGTAGGCATCTGGCTGCTTTCGATGGATTATGACAGCTGGCATGTGACCAAGTTTACTGTTGTCAGTTGTAGTGGCTACTTGGTGGCTTGCATCATCCTGGCTGGCTTATGAATGATAGTAGTTTGTGGCCAACAGATACAGTGAATGATGAACCCTAATATTTGACTGACAGATAGTAGTTACCAGATTTGAAAGATGATGGCTTGTGAATGGTTGATATTTGACTGATGAATTTATGTTGGCTGTTATGGTAGCGGTTTTCCTGTGACAAAAAGTGACAGTGGTTGCACAGTAGTAACGTTGATCAATAAAACACCCCTCGAGTACTGTAGATTGATCATCCATGCAGGGCATTGGTGAGCTGCCACCATTGGTGCATGAGTTGGCTGATGACAGCGCATGTCCGCATTCTGCCTTAGTATTGGTTCCCCTGCGTAATGCAAATGCCATTGATAACATATGTTGCAAATTGGTCACGATGGTAATCCACCTTATCATAAATGCCCCTAGTGTCTTTATAATTGGTTATGTCAATATTAGTTATGTAATACAGTACCTCATTGGTGTATTAATAAGGCTTGCTTTCTCATGAATCATAGTTAAATGTCCTTTGCTTCAGTTTTTTCCACATTGCTCATGCTATCACTGTGTCAGGCAAAACAACCCCATCATCACATTGTTGCTGAAATTGGGTTCCTCTTTTTGGTCGATTCAAATTCTGATGCATGCAGTGTCATGTAGCAGTTCTTAGTGCTTCTTAACTGGCCCCAAATCATCTCTTTTAAAGGGACGGGTGAGCCTGTTGATATTGACATCACAAACAAGGCCATCTTTATTAGGACTGAGGGGCAGACTAGTATTTCTGATCTTGTCGATTGCTCAGTTCTTGTTGGTTAGTTTTTTTGCTTGGTCATGTGTTCTGGGCTGCGGATACATACAGTCTTTGCATGCTCATGGGCAACAAGTCAGTTGAGTCAGTTGAGGCCTATTTTGGCATGCAAGAACTAGTCTAATTTCCGACCAGGAAAAAGGCTCTGTTTTGTTGTTCACCTGAGCTTTGTGGATGATGAAATAAATATGAAAGTGAAATAAAAAGAAGAAAGGTCCAATATTGGCATTATTTATGGGCCACATGGGTCATGCCCGGATGTCCTCTCCCGAGAATACACTGTTTTATCATGGGGTGGCGCTGTGCCTACCCACAGCCTATCAGTGAGCTGCCTGCCACAGGGCACCCTTTCAAAGCACGTCGCTTCCCAGTCTCTAAGATACCAAGCAGGAGCCTGGCAACCATGGCGGCATGCGGTTACATATGTACATTGTGTGCACTGATCTTCAAACCTCGCATGATATGCGTGGATTTAAAAGTGAAAAAAAACAGGCCATGCGTTATGCAAGCTGAATGAATGACATATTTCACGTTTCGTTGTTTCGTGTTTTTTTCTCGTCTCATGTTTCGTAGTACACTCAACCTTTCACACTAAGTCGTTTTGAATGCCTATGTTGCCATCTAGATCTGTTGTTGTTTTTTGGCTGAGCCACAACAATAACGTGTTGCTCATTGTAAAAATTTCCAGTATCCACAAAATATCGACCGATTTATTTCTTCTACAAGCATCATATATAAATCGAAGGATTTTAATGTTACCGTGGTTAAAATATAAATTAACGGCAAACGTTAATGAAGATGAAATAGACATTATGTACGCCTGTATTATACTTAAAGCAGATCACAACATCTAATCTTATAGTAGCCACATTGGTGCAATGGTAATATTTGTGAAAATAACCAGTATGTATGTTATAAATATTGTACCAATACAAGCTAATACAAATATTAAAATTGTTAAAATTGGAAACATAGAAACAATAAACACATAGAAACCATAACATATTTGAAGCAATAAACATGATGTGCAAATAAAAACGAAGTCTTTGCACCTGATTTACCTACTATGTAAGGTTATTGGTTTGTGGTTATATAAAAGAAAGCAATAAATAATAAAAATATGTATTTTGATTGTGGATTGATAATTAAATCTGAGGAAAAAATTGTTATGTTGACACATATGTTTATAATTACAGTTATCAATAGTAGATATATATGGATTAAATTTTTCAAAACGCAATTATACAATCGCTGTTTAAATATTGTTTTTATAGTCTAGAATAACTATATCCTTTGTGACATTGTTGCTATTCTGAAAATTGTGTCTCGTTATTCTGATGTTTTTTTTAAAAAGGAGTCAACACAATTGGAATTATTTCGGGATAAT